AAACAAAGAAAATGGGGAGAAAGGCAAAGTCATTCAGCTACACAGAAAAAATATCCAAACTCTAGATCCTTTGCCCAGTACCACCTTCTGAGTTCCTGGAGATGTCTACTGGGGAATTCCCAGCATCTTTATGAGGCCAGGTACCTTCTGCCAGAGTAGCGGCTGGAAATGCCAGAGAGGTCACAGCACCCAGAGTTGATGGGCACTCCATCACAGCTGAGGATGCGGCCAACAGCAGCAGAGGTGGAGGAGCCCACAACAGTGTTCTGTGGGTAGGAGCTGAGGATGGGGCCGGGCAGGGTCACCACCACAGCAGGAGGCTCGATGACGACGGTGGAGTTCTGGCACTGCCTGACACAGGGCTCATTGCAGCTGTTGGCCAGTGGGGTTGGGCCGCAGGGCCGGCATGGCAGGCATGGGTTGTAGCAGGACATGTCTCTGGTCTGGAGGTACAGCTGTGAGAGAAGAGAGAGAGGAAATAGAGCACAGGGGTGTATGAGGAGCAGCCTGGTTATCCTGTCACAAAGGAGCCAAGGCCACTGCTCGATGGGGTGTTGGAGGCTCAGCCAGGACCCACAGAGTCTTCATCATTCTATGAAGAGCAGCTTGACTTAGAAAGTCTTTCTCCTAATTCATAAAGCTAAAGCCCCCCTGAGCACACCCATTGTATCTCTAAGCAGACCTTCTCCCCTCTTCCCTCTGTCATGAGAAGAAGATCCAAACCACACGAAGGGACATAGCCAATATCAGCTGGGAGGTCCACTGGGCAGAGACTCACTTTGGAAGAAGGGGCTTCAGACTCACCTGGGTCCCAAGGAGAAGGAGCCAAGAGAAGTGGGTGAGAGAGTCGGGATTTGGGCTGGCTTTTATACCTGCCTTTTGTTGCTGCAGGACCAGAGGCTCCCTTTGCAGAGGTAACAATTTTCTGACAAGCTCATCTTGAATGCAAAGCATCACAGGTAATGATATGGGCTGTGCTTTTGTTTCCAACACTGCTGCCTTGTCATTTCCAGGTTTGTGCCATGCCCATTCCCCAGTGAAGCCTTCTTGTGAGCACTGGGATGAAAGGCGCCAGGATTTCTAGGGCACGAATGCAGCAGTGCTGGTGGAAGATGCAGATCAAGCACTGGATGGGTCCATAGTAGGGAAGTGACATTAATCTGAGTCACTCCATTGGGGCTGTTTCAAGTGTCATTCTCAGGAAAAAGCTCCAGCTATCCTGAGCTGGACACCATGGCCCCCTTTGCAGGAGGGTATGCCCTGTCTTCTTCTTTCCCTCCCTCCTCAGCTC